TCACGATAAAAATGTTTAAAGTATTTCTAATATCCAAAAACTATAAATGTAGATAAAATGTTCGCAGACAATCAAGTCCAAACAATTAAAATTTAATTGATCAAAAAACGATAAACGAAAAAAATTAGTTCCTGCTAATCAATAATGACCTTCAATTACGATTAATTAATTATCTACAATTTACTGTAAGGTATACACGACAAATATTTAATTTCTTAATTAAAACAAAAACTATACAAGGTGAAGCTACTATAAATAATGCCGATAAAATTCAGTAATAAGTTCCAGAAATGTAAGATATTTTAATTATTATTTCAAAATGAAATCTATATGTTACTTTCGTCGATAAAAATCAGTCAATAAACCGTATTAATTTCTCACAAAAAAATTGTCTCTCAAAGTCATGTTGTCGAAATAAGAAATAAAATTTCAATATCGATAAGAAAGTTCGAAAAAAAATTCACGTATTGAATACCAGAATCAAATAAATTTAAAAGTCACTTTATAGGTATATATATATAGATAATATTTCACTTTATATGACAAAAAAATTCTAGAAAAATATACCCAAAAAAATGTCTATAGAAACCGCGTTGTGGCGCCAATTTGCAATATACCCTTGACCCGTTAGGCTACAATTTGCATTATTATTTGTTACCTTTTTGATAAATGTTAATTTTAAAACACTTATAGAGATTTTTACTAGCTCAGTGAAATTTATTATCAAACGTTACTTACCTTTAAAAATTAAACAAAAATAAATGAGCACTTCTTTTTCTCTGTCGTGAATTCGGCTTTTCAAATAGACAATTTTAAGGGTAGTAATCTTTCTAGGAAATGTTGGGCACCAATAATTCTCTTTTTTATTTTTAAAAGCTAGTGAGAATTATAAATTCTAGCTTTATCAATTAAAAGAAGTTAATAAAAATTATACAGAATTTAGTGGATGAAAGAGAATTTTTGTGACCTTTAAAAAATAAGATTCAACATATATACTTATAAAAATCAATGATTTTATTAAAAAAAGAAATCTTTTCGAAAACAATTATTTACAGTAAACCAGTATCAAATTGTGATTCGTACATAAATAACTAGTCACTAGTATTTACCACTTTTTACATTGTTAGCTAACCATCCTTAATTAGCCATAGGTAGTCGAGATTTCTTCCTTCGGAAACCAACGCCTTCGAAATACAGCTGTCGCTTGTCCAAATCAACGAGTTTTTATAAGATCCTCGAAAACCAACGTTCTGATTACAGCTGTTGTGTAGATTTACGGCTTGTGACGATATGGCTGGTTTTTTATGTCTTATGGCTTATGTCATATGGCTTACGGCTTATGGCTTACAGCTTATGGCTTACAGCTGATTCTATTCGTTTGCTAGACAAAAATAGATTTTGTTTTTCACGTGGTTCTGTACGATATATAAATTTGAAACATCTACTTTTTAAAAAAAAATGAACCAATCAGATAATAAAAACTAGTGACTATACATATTGTGCCGTTCTAGCAACCAGAATGAATAATAAAAATATATTTAACTTTACTATTTAAAAAGACTAATAATTAACAAAAGGTTTGAATAATATTTCTACTGAGATGTTTAATAAAGACATATACTTTTTTTTGCTTACCACTTGAACAGCCGATATACCACCAAAACAATTGAAAGGTAACGATAAAATGAAATTTACGAATCTAATTTGAGATAGTTTGGTTAGTGGCACTCCCACTTCAAGAAATTTCCCTTTCTTCAGAATATTGTGTGTTGGCGATAATTAAATTATACCGGATGGCACACATTTAAAATAACATTTTATAATTAGACTTTTAAAATGTTACAATGTCTCCCCATTTTTTGTCTCTGAGTTCCCCAATAGCTACATTTATAGCTCTAGAGATGTCCCACAGTCTAATTCTATCGTCTCCGTTTCTGTATTTTTGCTATCTTTTACGTATTCGATTTTTATTTATGATCATCTCCTCTATTTCATCATTTAATTTCTCGTGATGCATTTTTAAACGTTTCGAGACTGTTGTGACATCCCTAGCCCTACAAATGTTTGCTGTCAGTGTGTCGATTTCCTTGTCCAGTTCTGTCCGTGCGTTCATGTTATTGTTGATTTTAGTGTCTAGTATTTTTCTAAATTCAGCCCAGTTCGTTGTTTTGTAGTCATAGTATTATCTCGATTGTCTAGCGATGTTTTGCGTGGTTTTTATTTCTAAATACACCGGGTCGTGGTCCGAACTAAGCATCTGTATTGTCCTGATGTTTTCTACACTGTCTATGTTTTTTGTCACTGCTATATCTAGCGTACTTGGTGTCATTCCAGTAAAGGGGAAGAAAGTTGGTTCCTCGGTATAATGAATGATTGCGTCGTTATTATCCGCATAGCTATTAAGGTTTCTCCCACTCGCATTACTCTGATTGCAGTTCGCGTCCCATAGTTCATGCCTGCAGTTTAAGTCCCCCATCAAGATAACCCTATTTCCTGCCGACATTAGATTATGAAAGTCAACCACCCCAAGTTTATTCGTGGGTTTATTGTAGGCCCCTATGAATGTAAACCCCCCTGAATTTATTAAGCAAGCAACGAAATCTTCTACTTACTTGCTACTACTTACTTTCAAAATACTTTATTCAATTTTTATGTACATATTTACAATTCATAATAATACAAGTAAACAATATATAATAGATTTCTTCCTGCCGATGGTTTGAAAGATTTACCTATTTATGGTCGTGTAATGACCATGACCGATGTCTGGGCCGTTTGTATACCTGTCTATTATTTAATTTTAGTATTTACGCGTGTCCTCTCCTTATTATTAAAAACATTATAGGACAGTTAGGGTTAAATGACTAGAGTCAGTAATGGAAAAGTGTTAAGTTTTTGTCTGAATTTATTTTTGTCTGTCGTCCCTGAAAAACTGTTACAAAAAACAGGGTTATCCTTGTTTGTGTGTGCGTTCCATGTTAGTTTTTCTACGTGAAAAAGCCAAATCTACAGACTACACAGTAATGCCCCCATTCAACATCAAAATTGGAGCGCTAGCCGCAATTTCTTTTACTTACTTTAAAAAGCATTTATTAAAACTTTTTATATACATGTCATTTTACAAAAGTGTAATTAATAATTTTTGAATTTGCTTCTTGGATCCCTTCCTGGAAGCTCCAATTCAAACAGACCCTTAGGAAGAGCCTCGGCCGATGTCATAGCCTATCAGTTACTCTTTAGTATTAATATTATGCTTGCATGTGATGCCTCCTTGTTAATTTTAACATAATGCAACAGTTTGTGATGTCTAGCTAGATCGGGAATGGAATTTTAGTATATAGTTTTGTTTGATTTTGTGTGTGTCCTCCCTGAAAAACCAATTTCGAAAAAACAGGGTTGTCATTGTATGTGTGTGCGTCACTGTTAGTCTTTCGTGTGTGTAGTCTTTCTTGTAAGCCCATTCACGAGACTACTCAGTTTCGTCAACTTCCTGACTCGAGATCTTGGCATCAGGGCTGCCAGATTCAGTACTTTTGTACTGAATTCAGTACTTTTTCAACTTTTTCAGTACGTCAGTGTTACGTTTTTAGTTTTAGTACGTTTTCGTTGAAATTTGTCAATTCAGTACAATTTTCAGTACTATTAAGTATTAAAAAAAAAAAAGAAGATAAATGACATATTTCATTAGTGGTTGACACTGTTGACAGTTATTTTACAACTAATTACTAATTTTTTAAATTTATTGGATGCAATTTTCGGAATTTGGAGAGGAAAATGGATAAGTAATAAGTTTTCTTTGCAGATTAAATAATGTTTATAAATATGATTGTTTTAATTTTGAAGGTTTCTTATTCATCAAATTAAAGATTCCCAAGAGGAAAATCAAATAAATATTGATTTTAATGCTGAAAATATTGAGGTTGAGATAGATTCTCAATTTGAAGATGATGAGGAGGAGGAGGAGGATGGTGATAACACTGAGAACCATCAAATAGTGCATAAGAAAAGAAAACTCTATAAGGCTAAATTTAATTGCAAATGGCAAGAATCGTTTTCTTGGATCCGGTCAAACAATGGTGTAGCTCACTGTAAGATTTGTAAAAGAAATATTTCCGGTGGCATAGTTCACTTAAAGAGGCATGAAAAAACAAAGCGACATTTATCCAAAGTAAAAATAGCTCAGTCAACCCCACAATTGATGAATTTTCTCTCCTCGGAATCCAAACCAACAATATCTGTAGACACAAAAAGAGCAGAATTAAAAATGATTATGTTCTTGGCAGAACATAATCTACCATTTTTAATCATGGACCATCTTCCAAAATGTATGGCATCTGCAGGACATGATTCAAATATTTTAAAAAATGTTAAATGTGGTCGCACTAAAGCCACAATGTATTTACAATCTTTCAAAGATGAATTTTCTAAAACTATTTGTGAGCTTATCAAGGGCCAAAAATTTTCTATAATGATTGATGAGACAAAGATACATCCACCAAAAAATGTTTAGCACTTGTAATCAGATTTGCTGATAAAAAAGCAAATTGTGTAAAAGATCATTTTCTCGATTTAATTGAAATTGAGCAGTGTACAGCTGAGGCAATTACCAATGAAATTTTTAATACATTAAAAAAATATCATTTGAATGCTGCAGATTTAATAGGTTTTGCTGCTGATAGTGCAGCTGTCATGTCAGGTAATATTTCTGGGGTACAGGCACGATTACGACAACAAATTAATCCAAATCTTTTTGTAATTGGGTGTGTCTGTCATTCAATGGCTTTATGCTCATCTGCCGCAGCTTCAAAACTGCCCAAACAAATTGAAGATTTTACCCGAGACTTGTACTCATATTTTTGTCATAGTTCAAAACGTATGAGTGAACTACAAAACTTTCAAGAGTTTATTCAGCTTAAACCTAAGAAATTATTGCGCCCAAGTCAAACTAGATGGTTGTCATTAGAGCAGGTATTAAATAGAGTACTAGTATTGTGGCCTACCTTAATTCCGTTTTTCACCTTAGCAGCTGTAGAAGACAATTTGCAAGCAGCAGCTACACTTTTAAATTCACTTCTAAATCCAATATATAAATTGTATTTCTTATTTTTATCTTATGTCTTATCTTTAGTTAACAAAATTAATTTAGAATTTCAATCCGAGTCGCCCCAATTGTTTGCACTAAATTACAAAATAAATTCCCTGTTTAAAACCATTACTAAAAACTTTATGAAGAAATCTTATGTAGATGAATTTAACACTTTAAGAGCTATTGACCCCTCAAATCAAGCTGAATATTTACCTCTAAATTCAATATATGTAGGAGCAAAGAGTCAACTTCATATTGACGAGAATACTCAAATTATCGATGAAAATTATTTAAATGATTTTCGCAAAAAATGTCTTGATTATTATGTAGAATTAAGTCATCAAATAAAGAATCGTTTCACTAATCTAACTGAGAGTTATAAAAATTTTGAAGTTTTAAACCCTGTCCTTGTTCTGAGCGGAACACAATCTATAATTTTAAGGTGAAGGGGGGAGAAAAAGTCCTTTATATCTCACAAGGAAAGTCCAATGTTTAATTATTCAACAAAACATTGAGTGCGACCGGTTTCGAAGTAACATCACTTCATCTTCAGGCTCGCCTAGTGGAAAGGAGAATATGTGGTGTAAGATGTGTTGACTTTGAGCCCACAATATATAAAATAGTAAAAAATAGAAAAACTCACCATACTCTCCATCCACTAGGGAATACTACAGACAAGTTTCATCAAAACGTGGGGGATGAAACTTGTCTGTAGTATTCCCTAGTGGATGGAGAGTATGGTGAGTTTTTCTATTTTTTACTATTTTATATATTGTGGGCTCAAAGTCAACACATCTTACACCACATATTCTCCTTTCCACTAGGCGAGCCTGAAGATGAAGTGATGTTACTTCGAAACCGGTCGCACTCAATGTTTTGTTGAATAATTAAACATTGGACTTTCCTTGTGAGATATAAAGGACTTTTTCTCCCCCCTTCACCTTAAAATTACTTCAACTCACACATGGCTACCCCCCTTGTCAACAATCTATAATACCTCTTATCAACCAGTTTCAATTCATTACTGATTCTGAAAAATTTGAAGATATTAGTAATGAATTTCGAAGTATATCTGATTTACCAACTGAGATAAGTGAAAAACTACAATTATTAGGATTTGAAAAATTTTGGTTCCAAATTATTAATTTAAAAAATGAGATTAATGAAATAATGTATCCTCACTTATCTCAGTTTATAAGTGATATATTGTGTTTTCCACATTCTAGCGCAACAGTAGAGAGGATATTTTCTCAGCTCAATTTAATTAAAACCAAAACCCGCAATACATTAGGTATTGAAAATTGTAGCTATTTATTACATTGCAAAGCTCTTTTGCAAGAAGAAAATTGCATAACATGGTGTCCGTCACAATCTATGTTAAAAACCTGTATAAATTATTCTTCAACTTCTAAAAATGTATGATGAATGTTATCCTTTAACATTTTTTTTTTGTAAAGTATGAAAAATGTTTATTTTAGGAAATCTAATTTAATTACCCGAAGTTCCTATAAAAGTGATTTAGTTTAAGAATTTTATTTTGTTCCTTTACACTTAGTATGATATTAGCATTTATTTTGAGTGTTGTTTTTTATTTTTTTACTCATAAGCATTACTCTTTATTTTATTTAAATTTTATAATTTTTTTTGTTATATAGTTTTAACAAGTGTGAGAAAACACAAGAAAATTATTTTTATTTTGCTTTCGCTTTACCTATGTACCTGTTTGTTTCTATATGATAACATTTTTGTAAATGTTTCAATAAAAGCTTTTTTATAGGTTATTAATTTAAATTTCCCGCCCTTTTATGGTGTTTTTTGATTTATGTTTTAGTACGTTTTCATAAAATCTAGTACTTTTTTAACAACTGATTATTCAGTACGGTTTTTTGAGATTCAGTACGTTTTAAAAATTTTTTTAGTACGATTTGCCATTTTCATTCTGGCAGCCCTGCTTGGCATGCCTCGAATTCGACGCAGGCCGTGACGTCACCGAGCAGTCTTCCGTCCGACCACAGTTAAGAACTAGTGGTCGTAGTGAATTGGCTTTTCAGTGGAATGCTCGCTGCTGTGAGTTTGTTAGTAGCAGCGCTCATTCCACGTCCTGTCTGTATAGTGTGAGGTTTTGATGCAAGCATCCATGTTTCCTTGATACACCATCCCCCTCATGAATCATGATTATGTCTTCCTTTAGAGAAGGAGGAAGACAATGTTTATAAAAGTTTTCAGATATTCTGATTATGAAATCTTTGATAGGTTCCATGGATGCTCGATCGTGTATGTCAGTAATTCTGGTGTAGCGATCGCACCCCAGAGCAAGCCGAAGACACTTGTTTTGGGAGATTTGGAGTTTTTCAAAGTGGGTGTTGGCCATGGAGCAGAAGACTGGACTTCCATATGTCAGTATAGGTCTTATCACCTGTTTGTATAGTAGCAGTTTGACTGCAGTTGTTACCCCACTATTTTTATGCAACAGAGGGTAAAGTGATTTAATGGCTCCTGTTGCCTTTCCAACCCTGTCTGTGATATGATTTTTGAATGTTAGTCCCTTATCCAGTATGAAACCAAGATATTTCATTTTGTTCCGTGTTTCGATGATTTGATCTTGTACTTTTAGTTTGGTTTTGATGTGATCTGTTATTCTCTTTGAGAGTATCAGGCTTTCAGTTTTAGTGGGGTTAATTTTTATCTTGTTTTCATCCAGATAAGGAACTAACACTCTATTGACATGGATGTCCAGTCTTCTTACTGCCACTTCGGCTGAGTGGGAAGTTTTAAAAATACAAGTATCATCGGCGTACAGCGCCGTCTGGATACCATTATGTCCCATTGGCGAATCATGGGTCATAATGGTATACAGGTGCGGCGCCAGCACCGAGCCCTGAGGTACTCCCGCCTTTGCTGTATATGGTCCGTTATGAGTGTTTTTTATGTTAATGTAGAATTGTCTATTTTGGAGGTATGATTGCATTGTTTTTACAATGGAAACAGGGTAGTCATTCTCAAACATTTTGTATATCAATCCGTCAGTCCAGACGGTGTCAAACGCCTTGGCAGCATCGATTGCTACCAACACTGTTTGCATTTTATTGTTGTACGCTTTTTTAGCGTTGTGTGCTATTCTGATGATTTGAGCAACCGTGCTGTGTCCGGCTCTGAAACCGTACTGTTCTGGCGGAATGATCGGTTTGTCCTGTTCGTATGTATGTAGTCTCGTCAAAAGTATTCGGTCTATGATTTTGGAGATGCCGTTAAGGAGGGAGATGGGGCGGTAGCTCTCTACTCGATTTTTACTTTTGCCACTTTTTAGGATTGGGATGATGTTAGCTATTTTTTGGGTTGCAGGGTAGTACTGTAATTTAATAATGCTATTTATCAAATAATGCAGTTGCACTATGGCCTTTCTTGAAAGATTTTTCAATAGCAAGTTAGGTATTTCATCCGGGCCTGGAGCTCTTTTGTTCGGCGATCTCTTAATTGCCTCTATTACTTCCTTAGGGGAAGTTAGCATTTCGATTGGCACATCTTGTACCCTCATATTTAATATATCCGCGCAGGTGTTCTCGATTTCTTGTTGTGCATTGTTGTTAGCTTGCGAGTTTGTAAAGTTATTTTGAAAGAATTCACCGAGAGCGCTGCCTTTTTGGTCGTCAGTCAAGCACACTGTGTCGTTGTAATTCAGTGTGGGAAGTTCCGAGTAAGGTTTTTTAAACCTTCTCACAAATTTCCACACCGAATTGTCATGTACGTTGACCGCTTCCAGGGTGTCTTTCCACTTTTCGTTTCTTAGTATTGTTATTTGTTGATTTATGTGTTTGCCTAGTTCTAAAAGTTGTACCCTGTCAGCGACCTGTCTGTAATTTTGCCATCGTTTACGTAATTTGTTTTTGTCCTTTATTAATTCCATAATGTCTTGTGGTAAAATTTCAATGTGTTGTTTGTGTTTTGTAAGTTTTGTCGTCCTGTTTCTTGCTGTTTTGATGGCTTGCGTAAACTTGTTAAATTCTTCGTCTAGTGTATTGTTGTCAGTGATGTTATTGTTGATATTAATGTTCTCGTCTAAAATAGTCCTGTAGTTGTGCCAGTTCGTGTTTTTGTAATCGTAAAACTGACCCTGTATTCTCGGTATTATGCTGGTTTATTTAATTTCCAAGTATACAGGGTCGTGGTCTGATGTCAGCGTAGTGATTGTCCTGACGTTGTCCACGTTTCGTATGTTTTTGGTCATGGCTATGTCTAGTGTGCTTGGCGTGTTTCCGTTGTGGGGGAAGTAAGTGGGTTCTTCGGGATAGTGTATGTTACAGTCCTCACTCTCGGCAAATTCATTCAAGTTCCTACCACTTGTGTTTGGTGTAGTGCAATTCGCGTCCCAGTGATAGTGCTTGCTATTGAGATCGCCGAACATAAGAACTCTGTTTCCTAGAGACATTATAGTTGCTATTTCCCGTTTACTAAAGACATTACTAGGGTGGTTATATATACCTACGAAAGTTATATTATTTGAGTTGATTATTATATGTTCTTGACTGATATTAATATTCGGGATTTGATGATATGTTAGTTCCCTTTTTATTAGAATAGCTACCCCTCCCCATCCCTGGTTTGGTCGGTCTTGTCTTAAGACATCATACCCTTGTACCGTAAGTTTGTGTGTCTGTGTGTAATGTGTCTCCGTGATGAGCATGATGTCAAAGCTATGTTTGAGAACGAAACTGCGAACAATTGTTGTCTTGTTACGCATCCCATTTGCATTGTAAAAACAAATTTTGAGTTTGTCTTTGTACCTATTTAGTTCGTTAGTTGCGTAAGTTGAAGTTACTGTCTACGTTTGTCATGAATTTATTATAGGTTTCGATAAGTTCTTGTCCTGTTTTGCATTGTCTGATTTGTGCGTTAAGTTGCCTTACCGCTCTAGCTAGCTCACCTATGTTCACGAGTGAATTCAATTCAGCAAACGCTTCATTTAGTGAAGAGACATCGGCCGTGATTGATCCCTGGGTTGCTTGTCTTGAATTTTCCGCTCTGGGAAGCGACGATGTGCTTATTGGTCTTGGGTTCGTTCTGGGCCCTCTTGCCAGCAGTGCTGGAAATTCTTCCGTATTTCTGATGTGTCTTCTGTTCTCCCATTGGTTGACTACTGGTGCGGGGGCGGGTACATATTTATTTTGTTGTGGCCTCTGTGTACGTTTCATTTCGAGTCTTTCTACTCGTTCCAGATAACTCTTGCACTTCGAGTAGTTGGCGGGATGATCACCACCACAGTTTGCACAGGTCGCAGGAGTTTCTCTGGTTTTGAGACATGTGCTTGTGTGGTGATCACCCGCACATTTTAGGCACTTGGGCTGCCTTCCGCAATTCGCTGTTGCGTGCCCCCATTGCTGGCACGTATGGCATTGCACTATCTGCTTCACTGACTTACGCATTTCCCAAACCACTCTCGTGTAGAGAATTCTACGCACATTTTTATTTAGGTAATCCAGCGTGAGGGATGGATCCGTTATTATGAGGAAGAGTGGGCGATTCTTCGTATTCATTCTGTAGATTGATCTCGCTTTGATGTCAAACTCCTCTGTGAGATCTTCATCTATGTCCTCTATTTTGGTGCCTTCAGCTAATCCCCTTAATACGAATGCATGTGTTTTTTCATCCCTGTTTGAGTACGTGTGGAATGGGAGTTTTTCAGTCTTAATGTTCGTGACCATTTTTTCGTGATCCTCCTTCTCTTCGAGGAATAGGATTGTTGAATTGTTAGTATGTTTAATACTAAATTTACCCTTGACTATTTTTTTGATGTCTTGCACGAGGGTGTTTTGACTCGCAGTCTTTCCGTCGATTATGATGGGGGGCATGTTGTTTTTTGCTTTGGGGGCAGGAGTAGGTTTCTTTTGGAGTGTTTTATTGTTCGAGGCGTTATTTTGTTCTAGGATGCTCTCAATCGTCTCTTCCTGTTTGTCCTCCGGTTTTTTATTGTTTTTTGCTTCTCTAGATTTGGCCGCTTTCCTCTTCCTCTTCACTATTCTGCCAAGATCATCATCTATCTCAGAATCAGAATCTTCCGTGAGGGGTTGAAACCTGTTTTTGGTGGTTGTGAGGGTCTTCCTTGTCTTTTCCCTGATTAGTTTCTCGAAGTTCGCGCTGAACTTCCGAGGAGTGACGAAGGGTTGATTGTTTGATGCGTTATCAGTGTCCATTTGGGTCATTGTAGGAGGGCTGTTCTGGGATCGCAGCAAGAACGTGCTGTTTGGCGAGGTGGGTAGGTTATTTTGAGCTTGAGAGCTGTGTTCGTCCGCAGATTTCCTCTCTTCTTCCGAGGTGGTGTTCCCTGTATTGAAGTTAAATATGTTGCTGTCAATATTTGGGGGAAGATCTGTGCTTCTTACAGCAATTTTTATTCTGGGGTCGCTCGGTATGTTATAGATTTTGGGGGTAGCTCCGGTGTTTTTATGAGGAAAGCTGTATATCCCCTTGTATGGGGGATATTCGAAATGAGCTCTGTGGGTGCGGGTGCAAAACCGAATCGAAAGCTACTCGATCCACCCTCGACTCGATTTGCCTCCGCGATCACATTGCTCATGTTTCTATCATTTTTGGGGGTGTTAATTTCCCGTGTGTTGGTTGTGTTGCCACCTACGTTTAGGTCCCACGTCCTGTTTCCACTTCCACTCGGGGGTGTAAGTCCTGGGGTGATTGTACTGCCATCCGATTGTGGGGAGTCCTGTCCACAGTCCAAAGTCCTGACTGTTACATTTTTTGGCAATGGTAAGGTTTTGTATGCAGATTCAAACACTACTGTATTTTCTACATACTTTTTTTTGTCCTTAAAAGTTGTCTCATTTTTTGCTGATTTTGGGGATTGATCTTCAGATTCGTCTAGGTCCATCTCCAAAACGGTCCCGTCTAAATTTTCTGGGCTGTTGGAGTCTTCGTTCTCACCCTCTAGGTCATTTAAGAGATTCTCCAAGCTTTTGTCGGAATCGGCTCTTATGACTTCACTCTTTTCTAAGCTACTATGGGACCTATCGCTCGTATTGATGCTATCTGTACTCTCATCAGAGTCCTGTTGTTCAGTGGTATCGCTGTATGCACCTTTGTAGTCATTCGACAAACTTTTTAAATCTCTCGCCTCCGTGTCTGGTTCTCGGGCAGCATTCTCCATACTTTTTAATTCGGCATCCGCTGTATTTCCGACGAGCACATTAGTATTCTCGTAACTTTTACTGTCTGTCTCGCAGTCTGATTTATTTCCAAGTACTTTCCCCAAGCTTTTTCGGTAAGAGTTGGTATCGTTTTTCGGCACATCAGTTTTCTCCATACTTTGTAGGGTGGGATTTACTTCAGACACGTCAGTATTCTCGCTGCTTTTTCGGACGGGCTCACCAACTGTTTTGTTTTGGAGTGTTTTCCCTGAGCTTTTGAGGCAGGTATTGGTTATATTGCTTGTCGAGAGTTCAGTTTTCTCCAAGCTTTTGTAAGTAGAAATTACATCAGTTTTCTCCCAACTTTTGTGAGTAGAAATTCCATCAGTTTTCTCCAAACTTTCCAATTTTGATTTTGTTTTAGGATTTTCGCTCAGTGGTTTATCCAGTGTGGTAGGTCTGCTTCCCGCACTGTTTTCTGCATTTGCGGTATTTGCTGGAGTGTTTATGGGTGGGTTCGTTACCATTTTACAGAGTTCATTCTCCAAGCTTTTCTGTGGGAAAAATTTGGCCGTGGAGTCTTTTCTGGGATGGTCAGCTGATTCCCTTGACTACTCACGGTTTTATAGGGGTGTTGATGCCTTGTTGTCTTCAGCGTTCTAGGGGTAGTTGGAGGTGTTCGGGTTCGCGGCACATTCACCGTATTTACCGTTGGTTTGATCGCGTTTATTCTCTCACGGAGTCTTTTAGAGTATATTGTCTCGTACACATTTTTTGATGGCCCGGAGGGCTCCGACATCAAAACCGGAACACTTCCGGGGGTGGGTTTACTTACTGGCGCAGAGGAAAAGAAAGAAAATTAGTAATTGTATTACGGTATTAGGCCGTTAAAAAAAACTAAGATACACGTATGTAAGGTTGGGTAGTCACTGTACACTGCAAAATGCTACGGAACGGCTTACTTACACCTAGAAAAGTTCTAGGTAAACTGCAGCCGCAATTTCAATTTTCAATTCAATTTAAAAGTCCTTTATTCTATTTAAAATATTTACAGTTTATTATATACAGGTTATAGTAAGTCATTTTGCTTCGGAGTGTCCCTCTTGAAGCTTGAAATTCCTCTGATCCAGCTGGTGAATCACGGCCGTTTTCCTAGCCCTATGATACCTATATTTAATATTAATATATTGAGTTGATATTCTATCTCCTTGCGTAATTACGCACTATATAGAAATTTGGATTGCTAACAAGATCAATAGTTGAGTAGCGTCTATAGTTTTGTATGATTTTACTTGTGAGTTGTCTTCCCTGAAAAACTAGTTGCGAAAAAACAGGGTTGTCCGTATGTGAATGTGCGTCATGTGAGTGTTTATGTAGTGTTTTGTCCAATTCGCGAGGCTACACGGCTTCTACAGTGACCAGAGCCCGGTACAAGGGAGCCCCATTCCGTGATCTGGGCAGTGACGTCACCGTGCAGTCTTCCGTCCGACCACTATTTTCGACTAGTGGTCGTAGCGAATTGGTTGTTTAGTGAAATGCTCGCTGCTGTGAGTTTGTTAGTAGCAGCGCTCATTCCACGTCCCGTTTGTAGATTTGTAAGCTTTGATGCAGACATCCATGTTTCCTTGCTGTCCCATCCCTATCATGCGTTTGCATTATGTCTGCCTTTAGCGTACTAGGTAGACAATGTTTGTAGAACTTATTAGCTAGTCTTAATATATGTTCTTTAATAGGTTCTATGGATGCCTGCTCGTGCATTTCGTCAATTACATTTTATTGGTTGCTCTAATGATGTTATCAGACTTTTTAATAGCTACCTGTATAACAGGAAACAATTTGTGGTTACTGATGCAGGTTCATCAAATACTAAGCAGATTTCCTGTGGAGTTCCTCAGGGATCAATACTTGGGCCATTATTATTTTCACTATATACCTCCAACTTTGAGAATAGCATTAGGAATGGTAAGCCATTTTTTTATGCTGACGATACTCAAGTTAAATTTTCTTTTAATCATAATGATTCCTTAGAAGCTAATAATCATATTAATGAAGATCTTGACAGACTAGTTAAACTTTCAAATATTCATCAACTTAATATTAATCCAGCTAAGAGTGTAGTAATGTTATTTGGTAAATACCGACATCAACTACAAAATGAAATGCAGATTCTAGTTGATGGGAATATTTTATCATTTTCCACATCTGCTCGCAATTTAGGTTTAGTAATTGATAATGACTTGAGGTTTAAACTTCACGCTAACAAGTGCATCCAAACAGCATACATGAATTTAAAAATGCTTTACCCACATCGACATGTTCTACCAACTACAACAAAATTGTTATTAACAGATTCCCTGGTTCTGAGTAATTTTAACTTTTGTGATTCAGTTTATGGGCCCTGTTTAGATAACGCAGACATAATTAGAATTCAGAGAGTACAGAAATCTTGTTTAAGATTTTCTTATGGAATACGGAAATTTGATAGAGTCTCTCATAAACTCAAGGATTCAAACTGGCTAGATATGCAATCCAGACGAAACTTACACTCGGCTAATTTGTTTCATTCTGTTATTTTACATAAATCCCCTCCATATCTTTTTAATAAAATAATGTATCGTTCTGATGTTCATAACCTCAATCTACGTTTTTGTGGTCGTATCTCACCTCCAATACATAATACTGCTATTTTCAGACGGTCTTTCACTTATAATATTTATGCAATGTACAAGGTTATCCCACAACATTTTAAAGAAATGTCTGTAAGTAAATTTAAAAAAATTTACAAAAAGTTTCTTCTTGACACAGCAGAGTGATAGCTACTTTTTAGAATGTTTATACTTTTTTTTCTCACTATCATTTGTGTTTATATTTATATTGTTTTTTGTACGATGTCCTGTGGCGTTGGTAATACTCAGGGCTGGTGCTTTGATCAGTATCCACTGTTCACCAGTCCTTTTTGCAGCCTTCTTTGGCACTTTTTTTCTGAATATTTTTATATGTATAAAAAACTGGAAGTTGCAAATAAAGTTTATTATTATTATTATTATTATTATTATAATTCTTGCATAACGGTCACACCCCAAAGCTAGGCGGAGACACTTGTTTTGCGTTCTTTGCATTTTTGAGAAGTGAGTGTTTGCCATTGAGCAGAAGGCTGGACCTCCATAGGTTAATATCGGCCTGTATAATAACAGTTTGTTATTTGTTGTTAAACCACTGCGCCTATGCAACAGCGGATATAGTAACTTAATAGCCCCCGTTGTTTTACTTATTCTGTCTATAATATGGCTTCCGAACGTGAGTCCCCTATCGAGAGTGATACCTAGGTATTTTAATTTATTCTTAATTGGTATTATTTCCCCTTGGATTTTTAGTTTAGATTTTATGAAGTCCGTTTTTCTTTTAGTCATTAATATACTCTCTGTTTTAGAAGGATTAATTTTTATTTTGTTATTATCAAGATAGGGTACCACTGTTCTATTGATATGGATGTCCAGCCTTCTTAATGCAATTTCGGCTGAATATGATGTTTTAAAGATGCAAGTGTCATCCGCGTACAAGGCCGTCTGAATACCATTCTGACCCATTGGCATATCATGAGTCATAATGGTATACAGGTGAGGCGCAAGCACTGAGCCCTGAGGTACTCCCGCCTGCGCAGTGTATGGTCCTTTCTGTATGTTTTTGATTTTAATGTAGAAATGTCTTTTGTCTAGGTAAGTTTGTATTGTTTTTACAATGAAAACGGGGTAGTCATTCTCAAACATTTTGTAGATCAGCCCGTCGGTCCATACGGTGTCAAACGCCTTAGCAGCATCAAGAGCGACAAGCACAGTTTGTTGTTTTGTGTTGAAAGCTTTTTTAGCATTATGTGCTATTCTAATCACTTGTGCTATTGTGCTGTGGCCGGCTCTGAAACCATACTGTTCCGGCGGGATGATCTCTTTGTCTTGAGTCTTTTTAGTAGGATATGATCTACAATATTTGCTACTCCATTCAACAACGAGATTGGTCTGTAACTTTGTACTTCCCCAACTGGTTTACCGGATTTGTGTATTGGAACTATGTTCGCCGTTTTAAGTAAATTTGGATAGTACTGTAGCTTCATAATCGCGTTTACTAAGTAGTGAACTTGAACTATTGCCTTTTTAGATAAGTTTTTAAGTACAATATTCGGAATGCCGTCAGGGCCAGGGGCTTTTCTGTTATGTGACTTTTTAATTACTTCAAAAACTTCCTTAGGGGAGGTTAAGAAGTGAGATGGAACGCTCTGTATCCCTAATTCTTTAATTTGCTTGCAAATTTCTACAATTTCCCGTTGTTCATTGTTATTAACCTGTGTATTTACGAAGTTTTCCTGAAAGTATTCACCGAGAGCGATACCTTTTTGTTCGTCAGTAAAGCACACCGTGTCTTTGTATTTCAGTGTGGGAAGTTCCGAGTAAGGTTTTTTAAACTTTCTCACAACTCTCCACACCGAGTTGTCCTGTATGTTGACCGCCTCCAGTGTCAGTCTCCATTTGTTGTTACGGTGTTGGTTGATTCTAGAGTTAATTTCTTTCCCGAGTGCTTTAAGACTAACCCTGTCAGCGTCCAATCTGTAACTTTGCCATCGTCTACGTATGTTATTTTTGTATGTGATTAGGTCGAGTATGTCCTGAGGAATTTCGTCTTTGTACGTTTTGTTATTTACAAGTTTGGTTGTTCTGTCTCTTGCAGTCTTGATGGCGTTCGTCAGTTTCGTAAATTCTTGTTCTAGTGTATTGTTGTTATTTATGTCCCTGTTAATTTTCAGTGTTTCGTCTAGTATTTTCCTGAACGTCTGCCAGTTCGTAGTCGAGTAGTTGTAGTGTTGTCCCTGTATTTTGGGGAAGATCTTGGTGATTTTTATCTCCATGTAGACCGGGTCGTGGTCTGAGGTCATTGTCTTAATTGTCCTTACATTGTCAACGTTAGGTATGTCCTTTGTTACTGCTATGTCCAGTGTGCTGGGTGTGTAAGCGTTAAAGGGGAAGTAGGTGGGTTCCTCCGGGTAGTGTATTATAAGGTCTTCGCTCTCGGCGAATTCATCGAGGTTTCTACCACTTTTGTTGGGATTAATACAGTTGGAGTCCCAGTGGTAGTGCTTGCAGTTTAAGTCTCCGAATAGTAGTACTTTTCTCCCCGAGGCCATTATTGTATTTAGTTTGAATTTTGAAAAAATATTAGTGGGAGTATTATACGCACCCACAAATACCATTTTATTAATTAGGATTCTGATATGTTCCTGTGTTATGTTTAATTGCGGAAGAAGTTCGTATATAAGTTTGTTTTTAATTATCATAGCTACACCCCCCGCTCTTTGATTTGGTCGGTCCTGTCTTATGACATCATACTCCTGTATTTTAAGTTTGTCTGTCGGTGCGTAGTGTGTTTCTGTAATGAGCATGATGTCAAACTGATGTTTGAGAATGAAACTGCGGACCAACTGTGTCTTATTCCGCATCCCATTCGCATTGTAAAAACAAATTTTGATTTTGTCTTTTGTAGAAATTAGTTCCTTAAATTAAAATGAGTGTCTACATTAGTCATAAAATTGTTGTATGTCTCTATAACTTCTTGTCCTGATTTACATTGTCTTAAAAGTGTGTTAAGTTGTCTAATTGCTCTTGTTAGCTCACCTATATTCACCAAACTATTAAGCTCTGCGAAGGCATCATTAAGGGCTGTGAAATCGTCCATTTGTCCCCCTTGGATAGAGGGTTTTCTATTCAATTGTGGTGGATTTGTTCTTTGTTGGGGCTGCGGAACTATATTTGACCTCTGGGCTGACCTTTGGTCAGAAGTGGGCAGGGCCGGGAATTCATCGGCTCTTGTATTCTGTCTTCTGGCTTCCCATTGGTTGACTTTCGGTGCTGGGGCGGGTACGTATTTTGTCTTTTGTGGTCTTTGCATTCTCTTTTCCTCGAGTCTGTCTAGTTTTTCTAGGTATTTAATACACTTAGTGTAATTTGCGGGGTGATCACCCCCACAGTTAACACACGTCGCAGCTGTTTCTCTGGTTTTTAAACAGGTTCGTGTGTGGTGATCCCCCGCACATTTCACGCACTTTGCTTGTCTGCCACAATTTGCCGTCGCATGCCCCCACTGTTGGCAATTATGACACTGGATAATTTGTTTTATTGATTTGCGGAGTTCCCATGTCACTCGGGTGTAGAGCACTCTTCGGACATTTTTGTTCAAATAATCCAGTGTCATTGAGGGATCAGTGACAAGGAAGAGGGGGCGGTTTTTCGTATTCATGCGAAAAATTTCTTTTGTTTTGATTTCGTGTTCTTCACTTAGATCTTCTGCTATGTCCGGGATTTTAGTGCCATTTGCTAAGCCTCGGAGAACAAAGGCATGTGTTTTGTTGTCATTTGTCGTGTATGTGTGAAAGGGTAGTTTCTCTGCTTTGATGTTTTCAATCATTTTCGCATGGTCGTCTTTGTCGTCTACAAACAATATGGTAGACTTGCTTGTATGCTTAATGCTAAATTTCCCTTTCACAACATCTTTGATATCCTTCACTAGTGTGGATTGATTTGCCGTCTTCCCATCTATTACTATAGGCGGCATGTGGGATTTGTTTTTGGAGTTGGTAGTGGGGTTTGGAATAATAGTGGTAGGGGTTTTGACTTGCTTTTTCCGCTCTGCTAGAATGCTCTCTACAGTTTCTACCGGCATTACAACAGCTTTGGCTGCATTTTTGGGGTTCTTGGTGCCCCTAGCTTCCGTGACTCTCTTCCTTTTGATTATTCTGTCGATATCATCCTCGTATTCGGATTCCGATTCATCCGAGAGAGGAAGGTATCTGTTGCTCGTTTTGGTGAGGGTTTTTATGGTCTTCTCCCTTAGTAGCGTTTGAAAATTTTTACTAAATTTTTTAGGCGTTTGGAACGGTAGTTGTTTACTGCAGGAGGGTTGAGTTTCCATATTTTCGGTGGGTGGGCTGTTGTTTTTCCTAATTAGGAAGGTGCTATTTGGAGATGTGGGTAATTTCCTTGTCTCTTGTGATAGGTAACCGTCTGTGGATTTATTATCTTCCTCTGAGGTTGGTAATGGGAAGTTATAATTCAAGATTCCTTGGGTGATCTTGGGAGGGATGTCAGTATTTAGAACCGTCACTTTGATTCTGGGATCAGCCTTCAAGGTTGTCCTTTGCGTAGTTCCGGTATTCTTATTTAAATTACTAAAGTCGTATTTAAATGCCAATCTAGGATCGCTATTAGTCCTTCTTAGGGTTCCCGTGTTTATTCTGGGAATCAGTGGAATCGTGCTGGGCAAGTTTTCGATGATCGGAGCTGCAGGAGGGTGTACAGGCTCGGAGCTACTCGGTCCACCCCTACTCTGTGCACCTCCAGCAGTTCCGGCTGAGTTTGTGTTACCTATTGGTACTGCATTTTCCGTAACAATATTTTGTTTGTTGCCTCCAAAGTCCAACTGCCTTGTAACAGTATTAGGGGGTAGCGATAATGTTTTAGGAGCAGGTTTCGGCGTAGGTTCGCTTTGGTATTCTGATTTGAATTCATCTACCTCAGAGTCGTTCTTCTCGATGATAGTGTTTTCATGTCCAGTATCCATGGACTCTTGTGATTCTTCAGATGTGTTGATCGAATCATTCGATCTTTCCAGCTCCTCAATCAGGCTTTTAGCCGTTTTGTAGGCCATATTTCCGGATTTTTCCATCGTTGGACTGACGGTAGGATTTTCCTGGCTATCATAGTAGCTGTTGTCAGACCCGGCTACTGATTGTTTCCTGGAGGCTGTATCCCCGTCCTCAGGGGTGGTATTCATTGCAACGTCTTCTTCTTTGGACAATTCTATGTCCTCAGGGTCATTTGAAGGGCAAATGAATAAATTTTTGACCGGGGGATTCTCCTTATTTTGTTCAATAATCTCTGGGTTATTCGTTAGTTGAGAAAACGTTTCTTTACTTACGGTTTGAGTGCTTAGCTTCTTTTTAGCTTTAAAATTTTTAGGAGAATGCAGATTCGCTATTTTCAGTACTTTATCTGCATTTAACCGGGCATTTGCTCTTGATCCTTTTGGCATACTGTGTTTCAAAACCTTGCGATATTGTGTTGGCCCCTTCGGGGTCAGGCATAGACCGAACTCCCTTAGGCGTCTGAGGGTACTTACACTGGCACTAAAATGGGACTTGAATAGGGAAAAATACTGGGAAAAATATTTGTTATGACAACTGACAATTGACGTATGAGAATTTAAGAGTTATAAGCTTTCGCCGCAAACAATCCCTAGAACAGCTCTAGGTGTACTGCAGCCGCAATTTCAGCATTGAATGGTGACGTCACCGTGCAGTCTTCCGTCCGACTAGAGATGATAGCTAGCCGGCTTCGAGATTTGGCTATTCAGTGTAATACTTGCTGCTGTGAGTCAGTTAGTAGCAGCGCCCAGTACACATCCTGTCGGTAGCTGAGGGCTGTCTCTATTGTCGTCTGTAGATTTTTAACTTTGGTGCAAACATCCATGGATTCTGTTTGCGCCGTTACCCTGATATATATTTGAAATATCTTCTTTAATTATGTCTGGTAAAGAGTTTTGATAAAATTTGTCTGACATTCTTATGATAAAATCTTGTATTGGTTCCATGGATGTTTGTTCGTGCATGTCAAGTATACGCGCATAGCGGTTGCACCCCAAAGCCAGTCGAAGACACTTGTTTTGGATTCTTTGCAATCTGTTGTAGTGTGTATTCGCCATTGAGCAAAAGACTGGGCTACCATACGTTAGGATTGGCCTGATTACCTGTTTATATAGTAATAGCTTATTGTTTATTGTAACACCGCTATTTCGGTGTAACATAGGATATAGTGTTTTGATGACACCGGTAGCCAGGCCAATTCTTTTGGTTATGTGTTCGTTAAACGTTAGTCTCCTATCTAGTATGAATCCTAAATATTTTTTAAACTATTCTTAGTTTCAATACTTTGACCTTGAACTTTTATTTTTGAGATTATTCTTTCTGTCACTCTTTTAGACAGTATGAGACTTTCTGTTTTCTCTGCGTTTATTTTTATTTTATTTCTTTCTAGATAGGGGACTACCGTACGATTGATGTGTATGTCCAGCCTTTTGCTCGCGATGTCGGCTGATTTAGATGTTTTGTAGATGCAAGTGTCATCGGCGTACAGGGCCATTTGTATACCATCCTGACCCATTGGTATGTCATGGGTCATGATGGAATATAGGTGAGGCGCAAGTACTGAACCTTGAGGTACACCTGCTTGCGCTCTGTATGGTCCTTTAATTGTGTTATTGATTTTAATGTTGAATAGTCTGTTTTGTAAGTATGTTTGTATTGTTTTTATAATGGGAACAGGGTAATCATTCACAAACATCTTGTAAATCAACCCTTCGGTCCAGACCGTGTCAAAAGCCTTTGCAGCATCAAGCGCAACTAGCACTGTTTGCTTTTTGTCGTTAAATGCTTTAATAGCATGGTGTGCAATTATGACAATTTGCGCTATGGTGCTGTGTCCGGCTTTGAACCCGAACTGTTCCTCAGGGATGATTGGGTTGTCAAGTTCGTGTGTTTTTATTCTGTTGAGTAGTATTTTGTTAAGTATTTTGGCAATGCCATTTAGCAGGGAAATGGGGCGGTAGCTTTCAACTTCATTTTTATTTTTACCTATTTTGTGTATTGGTATGATGTTGGCCATTTTTAATTTATCGGGATAGTGATGTAATTTAATTACTGCATTAATCATGTAGTGAAATTGTACTATTGATTTTTTCGATATGTTTTTTAATAGTTTATTATGTATTCCGTCTGGACCAAGTGCTCTCTTACTCGGGGACTTATTGATGGTTTCTAATACTTCCTTAGGGAAAGTTAGCATTTGGGGTTGAATTTCTTGCACAGGCATGGCCTGAATTTGCCTGCAGATGTTTTCTATTTCGTCTTGCTCTGCATTATTATTCTGGGTATTAATAAAATTATTTTGAAAATAATCTCCGAACGCACTTCCTTTCTGTTCGTCTGTTATGTATGTTGTGTTATTTTGTCTTTGTTTTAGTATGGGCAATTGCGAGTATGGCTTTTTAAAGCATCTCACAATTCTCCATACTGAGTTGTCTTTAGTATTAACCGCTTCAAGGGTTTTTAACTATGTACATAATAAATATAATGACATTTATTCGGGCTTGCTTCTAGCCTGTTCACCCTGGAAGCTCTAACCCAAACTGGCCCATGGCGATAGGCCATGGCCGATGTCACACCCTTACTGATGTCCATGTTAAATTTAAATTTGGATGATTTAAAATACCTCCTTGCTTTAGTAAGCATTATGTATTTAATGTGGTTAGCTTGCTAGATCGATAGTGGAGTAATGTCTATAGTTTTGTTTGATTTTTAACCGACTTCAAAAAAGGAGGAGGTTATCAATTCGTCGCGATATTTTTTTTTTTTTTTTATGTATGTTCAGCGATTATTCTTTAACACGGTGTCCGATTTTAATGATTCTTTTTTTGTTAGAAAGGGGGTACTTCAGGGGTGGTCCCATATAAATTTAGTCAAAATCTAATAATTGGGTCCATGAGAAAATCCTCAAACTCTTCATTTTTGATGTATGTTTAGCGATAATGCTTTACCACCTTGTCCGATTTATATGATTCTTTTTTTGTTAGAAAGGGGCTACTTCAGAGGTAGTCCCATATAAATTTAGTCAAAATCTAAAAATTGGGTCCATGAGAAAATCCTCACTCTTCATTTTTTATGTATGTTTAGCGATAATGCTTTACCACCTTTTCCGATTTATATGATTCTTTTTTGTTAGTAAGGGGGTACCTCAGGGGTGATCCCATATAAATTTGGTTAAGATGTGGTGATGGCATCTGCACGTTTTTAAAGTCGGTTTTTTTAAATTTTTAATTTACACTTGTAATTGTGTCAGTGTCTTCCCTGAAAAACTACTTGCAAAAAAACAGGTTTGTCATTGTAGGAGTGTGCGTCACAGTTCGTCTTTCATGTGCAAAGCCGAATAACGAGACTGCACAGTTCCGCTTACTTTCTGTTCCGACGATATCTGTCTATACAAATGCGATTATTCCGCAGAACACGCCCTCAGGACATTGGACATCCATATAAACAGGAAGTTAGTCCCCTATTTAACTAAAAACAAGATTAAAATAAACCCTCATAAAACCGAGAGCCTGATAATAACGAAACGTAGAACTAGAGGAAACATTATAACCCCACTCAGGAAACATCATTCCACGTCCTGTGCCAATGTGAAGGCTTGGCTGGAATGAGGTTTCTAACATTGGGCGAAGAAAAGCCAATTGCATGCAACTACATGCGGGAGCCACTGTCAAAGCTACTAAGTCTAATAAAAAAGACCAGGCTAGACGACATACTCTAAAACAAACGGAGTCCCACAATAGATCTGAAAAGGTCGCGGTGGACAAGGACAAATAACGTCCAACTCCTAATCTAATCTAACCCCACTCAGCATTCAGGGGCAGCAGGTAGACACCAAAGACCATATGAAATATCTTGGTTTTCAGCTAGATAAGGGACTGACTTTCAACCGGCATACCAAAGACAGGGTGACTAAAACACAAGCTGCTATTAAAACCCTCTATCCCCTCCTAAACAGAAGGAGCAAAGTCACCCTGCAAAACAAACTTTTAATTTTTAAAACCATGCTAAGACCGATCATGACATATGGATGTCCAGTGTACTGTTCGATGGCCAACTGTCATTATAGCAAATTACAAATCACTCAGAACAGATGTCTTCGGCTAGCTCTGGGCTACGACCGCTATGCAAGAATCGAAGACATGCACATACAAACTCAGACTCCACGAATTAAGGACCACATACTCGAAACAGCCGAGAATTTCTACACACGATGTCTCCCTGATTATGTGAAGGATGATATCTTTAGCATTTATCGCGGGGACGGCGTGCGTAGAAAACACGGCTGTTTACACGCGAAATTGGACATTTACAGACACAGACAATAATAATAACAAAAATACTCTAACATTCCTCCCTAACGATCCCAGACAAACTAAACAACAGCCCACACCGACTAAATACTAACGTAAACTAGTCGGACGGCGGACTGAACGGTGAGCTGGCCATCGAAGCAACAAACGAGAAACCCACGATTGTGAACCTAGAGCTTTGTCTAGGTACGGTTGGCCTCACAGTCTACGTTTGTTGATTTCTTGTATTCAGTGACAGTTGACAGTCATAATAAAATTTTTCTTTTTCTAAGTTTTCCCTCACGCCAGGTGTAAGTAGCCAAAACTGCGGTTGGTACCGTGAATGTCGGAGCCCGAAGGGCCTCCCATAGCTTCAGGATTCATCACAGAGTATACAAAACGGCTGAAAAACAGATGCCGACTATCACAGCCACAATACACCAAAATATTGAAGCTCAACTCACCAAAGTCTGCAAAAGCCAAAATTAAAAGAACCGGACAAACTTATGTGAGTACAAATATCTTTGACGCTCTTTGTCCAGCCATAATTCCTGAGAAAAAGGTGCTAGAGGCCCCCCAGGCAAAAATTTCCAGGGAGTCACCTTCAAGTGACCCCCAAACACTTGCAACAGTGGAAGTAAACACAACTAACACATCTGAAGGTGCTAAAACAACCCGCAAGTCGTCCACAACTGATTCTGAGGAATCCGAGGATTTCCAGGACAGTCAAGATAGCCAACAGGAACAAAACGAACATGAGAATTCGGTCAAGAGACTATTAGACGTGCTTGAAAGCCCCGGGGAGTCAGAAAAAATGGATACCACTGACCACCAAAATAAAAAGCCTGAAACAGGCGAATATCCCCCAGGAACAGCACCATCTGCAGCAAACGTGCTCTCACCCGGCGCAAACATAGTTTTTAAAAGTCTCCCATTACCAAAAAATGTGATAAAAAAAGCATTGAACTTCGGCACCACCGCCCACGGAGTGAACAATACTCTAAAACCTCCAAATCTACCAACTGGAAGTGTGGATAACGCTCAAAAGAGGGGTGAATTGAGTAGCCTCTCCCAAGGGCCAGTATCCACACTCTCAGACACACAAAGACAAACGGCGACAGGAGCAATCAGAAAAACGAGAATAAATAGCGACCCCAGACTTAGAATAGAAGTTAATCTAAATGATGTCCCCAGCAGTATTGCAAAAAATATTCTTGATTACGACCCAAATAGTCACACATCAGATGATGAACTGAGACAAAGAAAAGAATATGCGAATAGACATTCCAATCTCCCTCATTCGCCTAACAGCCTATTTGAGCCAAGGTCACTGCAAGAAAGAGCCCTATATGATATGGAAACAGACGCAGAAGAAGGAAACAATAAGAATAACACAGACACTCCATTCCAAACACCTAAGAAGTTCAGTAAAAACTTTGAGAAGCTAATCCATGAAAAATCCAGAAAGACAATCACTCCCACTAGGAATCAGTTTCAACCACTAACGGATGAATCCGACTCCGAAGGGGATGATGAAATTGGAAAAATTGTCAAGAAGAGGAAAACAGGACTGAAATACAAACCCCTTAACATGGAAGACATACAAACACCTGGTACGTCAAGCCAACAGACTACTCACTCTGCCAAACCCACACGAACAGACATGAGAGGAAACAAAAACAAAGTAACTATGCCACCCATTGTAATAGATGGGAAAACAGCGAATCAGAACAATCTAATCAAAGATCTTAAGGCACTAGTAAAGGGTGAGTTCAGTATCAAACATACTAACTACACGACCATAATTTTTGTAGACAACAAAGAAGACCATGTCAGGGTACTTAACAATATTAAAGAGGAAAAACTACCACACCACACCTACACCTCAAGGGACGACAAAACACACGCATTCGTACTTAGAGGGCTGGCAAAAGGCACGAAAATATGCGACATAGAAGAAAATCTTGATGAAGAACATGAGATAAAAGTCAAAGCTATATACACTATGAAAACCAAAGACAGACCACTTTTTCTAGTGATTACTGATCCGGCTATAACGATAGATTACTTAAACAAAAATACAAGGCGTGTGCTGTATACCAGGGTGACGTGGGAGCTACGAAAGTCGACAAAGATAATAATACAATGTCACAATTGTCAGCAGTGGGGGCATGCCACGGCCAATTGTGGCCGGCCTCCACGCTGTCTTAAATGTGCGGGTGATCACCACACCCGAACGTGCACCAAAACATTGGACACACCAGCTACGTGTGCAAACTGCGGGGGGGATCACCCCGCAAACTACTCAAAATGTACCAACTATGTCGAAAAACTAGAAAGACTAATGGAAAGAAGGCCAAAAGCAAGTACTAAATATGTACCCGCCCCCCAGCCCAGAATTAATCAATGGGAGACAAGGAGGCAAATGCAAAATAATAACGAAGATTTTCCTGCACTACCGGAAAGAAGGCAACGTGAAAATATACCATATGCTAGAAACCCCCACAAATTACCTGAAATCTCAAGGCAAACAACTCCCGGCGGATCCATGGACGATTTCGCGGCCCTAAATGACGAATTTGCTACACTAAATCGGTTGGTAAATATAGGCGAATTAATCAGAGCAGTCAGAGCACTGAACGCTAAACTCAAAAATTGCACAACGGGAAGAGAAATAATTGAAACTTACAACGCGTTCATGACGGACGTAGACATTAACTTCAAGCTTTTGAACTAAATCTAACATACAACACAGTAAAATCAGTAACATTCGTTAAATACATTGTAAAATGCTTCTGTGGAAGTTTATGCGACTGCGGAATCGCTTTTTCCCAGATAAACATGGATTTCTGTGTTTCTCGGGGAAATTGGCGGGAGCAGGGGCATGAATGACTACAGAATCGCACTCATTACGGACAAAGATGACAGAAAACAGGATAAAATTTGACGTACATCCTCCTTAACAGCGACGACCCCACTGAATAGTCAAATCACTACGACGATTAGTTACCAACTATAGTCGGACGGAAGACTGCACGGTGACGTCATCGCGAGGTGCAAGGTTTCTTGGCTTGCCAGAAGTTTTGTGCCGAGCGGTGGCTTTACTGTGGGGTCTTGTGATTTGACTAATTCATGCACAAAATACCACGCTTCAACACACATTTAGGACAACCCTGTTTTTTCACTTGGTTTTTCAGGGACGACAGACAAAATTAAATTCACACAAAAACTTATTACTATTCCATTACTGATCTGATTAATTAGCCTATATTGATCTATAATGCCGTCATACGGCAAGGAGAGATCGCGAAAATCAAAATTCAAACTAAAAACAATATAAGTATACGGCCACGACATCGGTCATGGCTCCGACTGGGGTCATAGCAGAACTGGAACACTTCCTGGAGCAGCTAAGAAGAAATCCGTCTGCAATTTATGAATATTTATATTGTAATAGACTGTAAATTATTGTAAATATGTAAATAAAGATTTTGAAATGAAATGAAACCCACGATTGTTGCCTCGATGGACGGTGCATCGAGCAGCCTGCCTGTGAGCTGTATTACTGAACAACAGACTAAACAAACAACTGTACACACAAGGACAACCCTGTTTTTTCTAGCTTTTTCAGGGGACAAAAACCAAAACACAAACGCGACATATCCTTCTACAAATTCCCATTACCGATTCCGATAATTAATTTAATTTCAAAAGTACTTTATTCAAGTTTTAAAATATATATACAGGTCAAATTTAATAACGCATTTCTTCATGGATTTCTTCCTTCTTCATGAGCTGGAAGTATTCCTTATTTAACTCCCTAGGGAGCCAGTACCGATGTCATGGCCTTAATGCATGTATAAATTTGTTTAAATTTGAATTTAGTGACTTCTCCTTGCTGAATTCAGCATTATAAGCCAATTTAGGGGGGCTAACTGGACAATAATTGATTAAGTGTAGGAGTTTTTGTCTGATTTTAATTTTGTAATTTGTTCCCTGAAAAACTGATCTGAAAAAACAGGGCTGTCCTTGTATGTATGTACGTTGGGTGGTAGTTTACGTGCATGCTTAACCAAATCACAGAACTACACAGTGATTTCACTGCCCAGAACAGGGACCAAGGCAAGCCAACTTACTTTACTTACTTTCAAAATCTTTATTCATCGTTATATATTCTTTACAATAAATAGCTTACAAATACATACATATAGTTATAAAATAAAATAAAAATATAATATAAATATACAAGATAGTGGTACTTCCTATCGTCTTCTACGGGAAGTGTTACCTCCTATGCTGGCCGATGTTGTGGCCTGGTAATTGAGGTCTATTTTTAGTATTATGGTTATTGCTTGGCATCTCCTTATTGTAACAATATTATATGCCAGTTTCGTGAGTTAGCAAGAGCGATAATGGAAAATTATTGAGTTTTTGTCTGATTTTAATTGTGATTGTCTTCCCTGAAAAACCTATAAAAAACAGGGTTGTCCTTGTATGTGTGTGCGTCACTTGTTAGTCTATGTACGTAAGAAAGCCAAATCTATAGACTACACCGTGAAATCCCCATTCAACATCGAAATTGGAGCGCTAGCCGTGTGTTTGTGTTTCAAAATCTCTTTATTAAAATAATATGTACAACTTTTTTATAACAATTTCATAAATACATTTCATTTCACAGAAGGATTTCTTCTCACGTAGTATGAAGTATTCTTCTTCTGTATGCTCCAACAAGTTGGACCATGGCCGATGTCCTGACCGTGCAAATATTCATTGTTATATTTAAAATTATGTGATGGAGTAGCTTCTCCTTGTCGTAAAACGACATCATAAGCTAATATTGAGAACTTACTAGAACGATAATGGTATAGTATTAAGTTTTTGTGTGAATTTAATTGTGTCTGTATTTCCCTGAAAAACCGTAAGTAAAAAACAGGGTTGTCCTTGTTTGTAAGTGCGTCTTGTGGTAGTTTAGTGCATGAAAGTTCAAATTACAAGACTACACAGCAGCAACACCTTCCAATACAGAAATCGTAGCAAGCCACAAATTTTCAGTTCAGTTCAGTTCAAAAGTCCTTTATTCAATATTTACAGTATATACATTTTATTTTAGTACCTAAGGTACAATTATATACATAGTATAATAATATATTACATATATTGATCCTAGATTTCTTCCTAGCCGTGTTGGGGAAGTGTTCAAAAGATCATGACCGATGTCTTGGCCGTGTTTGCACCCTTGTACTAATTTAAGTTTTGATTTTTAATGTGTCCTCTCCTTGCATATATGCATTATAGGACAGTTGTGAAATGACTAGAGTCAACAGTGGATTTTGATGGAGTTTTTGTCATGATTTTACTTCTGTCTGTCATCCCTGAAAAACTGTTATAAAAAACAGGGTTGTCCTTGTATGTGAGTGTGTCTCATCTTAGTTTACGTACGTGAGAAAGCCAAATACTATAGACTACACAGTAAAATCCCCAGTCGACATCTTTCTTTCTTTATAAACTTTATTTACACATTAAAATCAGGTATATGTACAACATAAAAATAAAACAAAAACACAATTCCCGAATCGGGTCTTGAGTCGGCGTGGCAGCATCCTGCCTGGCCTATGGTGAAGATATTCACCCGTTTTACTTTCTGTAGCTGAAAATAAAGGTTAGGCTAAACATAGCAGCCCTCACTCCTTGCCAGGGAGGCATTATTGAGGGGTTGTGGTGTAGTTTTCGTCAGTAAATGTCATAGTTTAGAGATTTGTCGGGATTTAGTTTGGTCTGTGTCCCCTGAAAAAGCTAGGAAAAAACAGGGTTGTCATCATTGTACGTTGATCTTTCGATAGTCTTCGTTATTGTCACAATTCACAGGACTACCGAGCTATAAAACCTCCCGAGAGCGCCAAAGTCGAGACATTCATTTCAAAATCATTTATTTACATTTTAAAATATCTACAAATTCAAATCAAAATAATGCATTTCTTCTAGATATCTTCCTGCATGCGCCGCTGGAAGTGTTCCTTATTTGACCCCCAAGGGGGCCAGTACCGATGTCCTGGCCTTATGCATTACTATGAATTGTCATAATTAGAGTTAATATGACTTCTCCTTACTGAAACAGTATTATAAGTCAAATCGGAGGGGCTAACAGGACAATAATGGATTAAGTGTTATAGTTTTTGTCTGATTTTAATTATGTCTTGTGTTCCCTGAAAAACTAATCTGAAAAAACAGGGTTGTCTTTGTGTGTATGTTCGTTGGGTGGTAGTTTACATGCATGTTTAAACAAATCACTTGACTACACAGTGATTTCCCCGTCCAGAACAGGTACCAAGGCATGCCAAAGCTCCTGCAACTGGACGATGACGTCACCGTGCAGTCGTCCGTCCAACTACTTTTGTCAAGAAGTCGATTTTGTGATTTGATTATTCAGTGTTGTCTTGTTGTTAAGGAGGAGTCAGTTTACCTAGAACTGTTCTAGGGAGCGTTTGAAGCAAATCCACGTCCGATTTGTGTATTCTCAAGTGACAGCTGTCAAATAATAAATTTTTCCTTTCAAAGTTAATCTCTAACGCCAGTGTAAGTAATCCCAGAGTTAGGGAAAAGGTCAATGACCGAGCCCGGAAGGGCAGCCACAACGCCGAAAGGCTTCGAGACTGAGTACTCGAGAAGACTAAAAAGCCGGTATAGGTACTTGGACAAACACCGGAAATTACATCCTGAGAGCCTACCAAGCAGTCCGAAACCCAAAAAGAAAACAATAACCAAAACTGTGAGTACTGAGAGTGAGAAAGAACTAACAAATAACCCAGGGGTCAGTTGCCCTAAAACAGAGGACCCCCTGGCAAAATTTTCGCAAAGTTCACCTTCAAATGACCGTCAAAGACTTGTAACTGACGAACAATCAACGTCTACACTAGTTACACCACTCAGAAAGCCATCTGCGGATGGCTCTGAGGAAATGGACTACCATTCCTCTCAGGAAAACCTGGGATCTAATCCCAGCAGCCCGGATACAGATAACGCAGACAAAAATGCATATAAAACGGTGGAAAACCTCATTGATGATCTTGAAAACTCTAATGACTCAATAGAGAGCATGGAGAGTGAAATGAACTCCACAGTAGTCTCCAATAAAAAAGAGCCAGGAGAAATTGATAAGGAAGCGTCACATTTCTTTTCCGCGTATCAGAGTGAATCTACTCCCCGAGTAGGGCAAATCATAACACTACAAGTCCCATCGAATGTAGTTGTCAGAAATCTAGACTTTGGGCCCAACACAGTACTAAGTCCAATTAACACTGGAAGTGAGGGAGGAGCCCACACCAGGGGTGAACTGAGTAGCTCCTCGGCTGGGTATTTCCCCACTTCGACAGTGCAAAGTAATCAAGGCAGTCAACAATCTAATAATCCCAACTACCAAATCCCTCCAACGCCACAAATTCCTCCTACCCCTTCACCAAACCCTACCCCATTAATCCCTATAGTAACACAAAATGTTGAAACAAGAAAGAGGCTGAATAGTGACCCCAGAATCAAAATATCGGTGAATGTAACAGATATACCGAAGGCTGTAGCTGATAACATACTAGACTACGACTCTAATAGGCAAACCACCACCTCAGAAGAAGAACACTCAGATAACGTAGACAAGTATGCCAATCTCCCACACTCGCCAAACAGCCGTTTTGCACCGAGAAACGCTGCAGAAAGAGCGAAATATGATTTAGAATGTGAAGAAGAAAGAACAAGAAAGCTAAATGAAACTCCTTTCGAAGTACCACGAAAATTTAGCTCTAATTTTCATAAATTAGTGAGAGAAAAGGCCAAGAATACACTTACACCCACTCAAAATAAATACCACGTCCTGACAGATGAGTCGGACTCAGAAAATGATGACATGATTGGCAAGATTGTCAAAAAAAGAAAAAAAGGTGGGAAATACATACCATTTAACCCTAATGAACCAACACCTATCGTAGAATTAAAAGACAGCACTGCTCCAGTTGCAAGTACATCAAAAGTAACTACTACTGCCAAGAAAACACAGCCAGAACAAT